ACATATTTAAATAATTTATATATTTTTAGTAAAACTTACTATACTATGAGCCCAAATTGCATAATAAGCACCTGTTAATTTAATATGATCTTTATTTGTAAACCAACAAGATGCATCATATTGATTACAAAATCTTTTTTCTTATAAAATTGTAATAATTGCTACTATATCATATTTAGATTAATTAAGATTAGCTTTACTTAGAGTTCAATTATATTTTAATTATTTTTTGTTTAATTCAGAATCTTGATTATCATCATTATTATTATTAAAACTCTATAAATAAAAATTAAAATTATAAAATTAATTATTAAAAAAATTATTTATTTATATTAAAAATAATTGTTACTAAAATAAAAATGTCTTTTTGCTTAGAGATTGTTTGAAAATACTTTTTGGTAAAAAAAATATTAAAATTATTTTCATTAGTAATTTGAGTTCTAATACCTGTTTCTCTTATAATTTTATATGCTAAAATATAATACTTTTGCCTTAAACTAAAATTATTTGTTAAATATTGAATTTGTAATAGTATTTCAGCATAAAATTCTATATATGATTGTGTTATAAATGATAATTATTTAGCTGAAAGCATAGTTCTATTTTTGATCTTTAATATATAGCTTTACTGTAAATTTTGATATATGCTCAAAATCTTCATCTTCACTAATATTTAAATTATCTCCAAATAAATTATATAGAATTAGCTCTTCATTATAAATAGAAGTAGTAATATCATAACTATTATTTTCATAACTATTTGATATATTTTATTAATAGATGTATTACTATTATAAGATGATAAGGGTGTGGCGACTTAATGAAGTTGGTAAGTTGTTGTACCTCAAGTGATAGGACAATAGTTCAAATTCTACTATTAACAAAATTTAAATTTTACAGAATGTATTACAGTAGACTGTATGTAATTTGACAGGTCAGAAACTGTAACTTTAGTTGTACTAGCTTGTACTGAAAGGATGTAAAACAGTAATGTAATATATAAGTTACACAAAATCCAAGTGATATATCTGGATAAATCTAGAAGATCAGGTATATGGAAGCCTGCTTGGCAAGTTCTGTATAGAGAGATTTTTGACGGTACTACTTAAAGAATGATCATCAGCAATCGGACTCAATAGCAAACTGAATGAGAACTGGATGTTTAGCAAGGCATAACACCAATCAAACTATATATATATGGGAAAAAGGATTTATCAGAATACTAGAAGACACAAGTTCCTTCTAGACTATTTGGATTGTAAGTTTGGAGACGTTGTTAGTACGCTAGAAAAGTTGATAATAGTCTGTAAAGTGGGTGCTAGGGTTTGGGTAAACTTTATAAGGGCAGGAGTAGGTAACAGTAGCGATTTCAGCTTGCAAGTACTTGTCTTTAGACTTGGTGTAATTTACTAAAAGTCTAGGTTAGCCAGATTGTGGATATAAAAAGCTCTAGCAATGATGTCTTGAGGATAAATTAGTTCTAAGGCTATGATAAACATCTGAAACTTCTTGACTGACAAATATAACAGAGATGTTCCAGTAATATAAGTGAATATGTATATTACAGAGGATTTAAATAGATAATCCTCTAGTTGAGTTATAGATATAGTAGCTAGTATAAAACTTATGATGTAATACTGATATGCAGATTACTTAAATAGACAACCAAAGTTGTACATGTGGCTAGTTGTACTCTCTAATATAATTGGGTTCTGTTGTGAGCTTCCTGTCCAATATACTTGAATAAAAATCTCTACACCAAAGAAACTAAATTTAAAAAAAAAAAAAATTATAAGATGATATTTCTTGAGACTTGTTTGTTTCATGTTTGTGAATTAGCCTTTTATAATTAGAAATAATAATATCATAACTACTAGTATTATAACTAGTAGATACATTAAAAGATCTGAAAATTGGCTTTTCATGATTAGAGTCAGTAATATTGTAACTACTATTATTATAACTAGTAGATACATTGTAATTAATAGAAGTATCAAGAGATATTTTTTTGATCTTTTTTTGTCTATGTTTGTTTGTTATCTCAGAATTTTTAGTATCTACTTCATCACTTTTCTATATATTTTGCTGTAGTTTAGTTTTTGTTGTTGTTGATTAGAGGATCATTAGGAAGAGTTGAATCTGAATATAAATTAATTTTAAAAGTATATACTTAGATTTAACTATAATATAAACCTTAAAGATTATATCTGTTAATTGATAATCCACCAGTCAACCAGAGAGTGATCATAGTAAAATGTGACTCAAATTACTTATAAAAATTAGGGTTTTTCAAATGTGGTGTGCACATATCTAAAACTTTTTTTATACTAAGTTAACTACCTTTGGGCTTCTAATTGAAGTTGTAAAGCTCGTTGAGAGGAATCGAATAGTAGTTGAATTATCAAAATTGGCTTTGTGAATTACAAGATATCATCAAAAAACTTTTCACTAACTATGTAAAATTCTTCTTTAACAATAGTATTGTTAAAGAAGAATTTTATATAGTCGACGAAATGTTTTTCAAAGATATTTTGTGATCCACAAGGCTGATTTTGATAATCAACCACCATTAGATTCCTCTACAACTTCAATTAGAAGCTCAAAAGTAGTTAACTTAGAATAAAAAAAGGTTTAAATGTGTGCACGCCACATTCGAAAAACCCTAATTTTTATAAGTAATTTGAGTTATATTTTACTATGATTACTCTCTGGCTGACTGGTGGATTACTAATTAAGAAAATTTGTATCTAAATATTATTAAATTAACTAGTTATCTAAGTAATTTATTATCTTTTAAATTATATTTAAACAAATTTGTTTAAAAAATTAAATTATATTTAGTATTTTTTAAATAAAATAAAAATTGATTAATAATATAAGATATATATTTAGAATTTTACTAAAACACATCTATAGTATTTTACACCTATATATACATTATTTCAAAATCTGGCTAATTAATTAATGTGAGGTGTTCTAAATAAAAATGTTCAACACCTCCAAAACCTTTTACAAACTCTAATTCTAACTTTAATATTAATTTTAATATAAAAAAATTAGTGTTAAAATTTTATATACAAAACTTATAAAAATTTTAAAAACATAATAAAAATATATAATAGATGCAAAAGCATTATAGGTTTTATTATAAATATATTCTTAAAATTATATTTTATAAACTTTATTATAAAAATTTTTTAAAGTTATTAATAAATTTTTGAGTAATAAAATTTTAAATTTTTGTTTTAATTATTAAAATTTTTTTAAGGATTTTTAAAATTTTAAATATTTTTAAAAATAAGTCTAAATTTTATAAATAAATTGCAAATGTTATAATAATAAAAAGTTATATTTAAATAAGCTATAATTTTGTATTAAGAACTATAGCTTTAAAATTAATATTTAAAAATTTACTAAGAATAAGTAGATAATTTTTTAATAAAAATTTTTTATAAATTATAAGCAACTTAAATTTTTTTCTTATAAAATAAAATTAAATATTACTATATTATTATTAGTTTAAATATTATTAAAAACTTTTATTTATATATTTTAAATTAGATTTTACTAAAACTTATCTATTAATTGCAGGATATATTATATCTAAAATTTTTGTTTTTTTTATAGTCAAGATCAGCCTCTTTGGCTTTTTACTTTTATTAGATTGTAGAATCATATGATGCCTTTATTAAGGGAGCCCCAGACAAGTACATTCTGACAAGAGTATATTCTAGCCATACTTGCATTTTTTGAGCGTCTAATTTAAGTAGTCTGCTTATTACTAAGTTCTACACTAGATGCCGTACCTATAACCCACTATTATTTAGATTATCTAATTCAACCCTCTGATCTGAGTTTCTTAGATCCATCGAACCTCACTCAGAATATGCGATACATAAGTCAGTCCAGTTTCAAGATTATCGCAAGCTACCTATAGGACTACTGGCATGATTACCTGATTCATTCTTGAGTGCATTACCTATTACATCTAAAATTTTTTATATATAAACTTATACAATCAGACCTTCATAAGTGTACTTCTATAAGTGTACACTCTCCACAAATGCATCATAAAGCCCGGTCTCAGGCTGAGACCATAGTGTTAAGTGCACACTCTCTATATTCTGCACGTGCATTTAATTTTGTTATTTAAAGTACCCTCCGTAAATGCACTGTCACGTGATAATAAATCATCTTGATCAATAAAATTTCGAATTATCATGTATAGTACTATACTAAGAGATCGGTTGTGTAACTTCCATATATAAAATTTAAGCTGTTAAATTTTCTGTAGCATACGTATGTACGTACGTACATACGTTATACATGCGAGAAACTTAAAAACCTCAATCTCTCTATATAGAGCTAATGCATAAACTAGTGACATATTGAAAATAAAATTCTTAAATTATCGATCTAAAAAATGGTTTAGAATTTCTTTGCATAGCCAAAGAATAATAATATGCACTTAAGAATAACTATTATCTGCATACTGATATAAGCTGTTATTAAGAGTGTCATACATATTTAGATCACTTCTCCATGAGTTAATTGAACTTTATTCTAATAAAGTGATTGTGGTTTATAAATTTCCTGCACTGTATGTACGTACGTACATTCATACACACCTGAAAACCTGATAAAGTATATACATATATGCACTTTTACAAATTCAAATACCAATAGGCAATCGAGACATAAATCAAAAATGCAACAATAAGGTCAGAACAATTGAATAATTAAAAATGGTAATTGAAAATAAAATATATAAGTTTAATTAAATAAGCTACCAAAATTACAAACTTACGTATATCGTATATAAGGATCATCAAATAAACTTTAATATTGGTCCTATATAAAAGCCGAATCAAGTCAAAAAAAAACTTCTACATTCAATTATTTACTTAACACAAACTGGATCTGCTTTCTGCTTTTAAAAAAAATTCAGCTATGAACACTAAACACTTATCTGAACTAAGTAACCTATCGTTATACCAAAAATGTTGGTAATAGAAGATTCTTGATATTTTTTATCTTTTTCAAATATCAAGGTGTTCTAAGTTTATCGACAGCATAAGAATATAACAAGCCTAATGCATATACAATAGTTATTCTGGATTTAATCTGGCCTATTTAAATGAATCATTAAAAGTACGCCTACTTGGCGTTCTAAGGAAAAAGGCCTGAGAAAGGAAAAAAAAAAGGATCATTATTTTTAATTAATAACCTTTTTTGATTAATTCTTTAAAAAAAAAAAAAAAAAATTAAAAATATGTTTTAGTCACTCTAGTGACCTTTTTTTAAATTTTGATAAATAGTGCTTTTGTGTACAAGAAAAATCTTTTTCATATAATATTCTTTGATTATGCCAAAAAGAACAACTTTAACTGATATTCAAAAATTAGAATTTTGTGTATATGCCCGTGATAACAAAAGAACCTGTTCAGAATATGTAAAGTGGATTGAAAATAAATAGGTGTTAAAGTCCATGAGTCTACAATTACTCGAATCTTACAAAGTAAAGACCAACGATTTTCAAATGAGATTGTAAATCCTGAAGCTAAGCGTCATAAATCTGTTACTTTTCTAGAGCTTGAACTAGCACTTAAGGAATTTATATTAATATACCAAAATCGTACTATTCTAAGTGATGCTATGATAGTTGAAAAAGCCAAATTATTAGCAAATGAACTTAGTGTTCCTGAAGGCAAATTACATTTTTCTGCTAGGTGGCTTCAAAAATTTAAGGAACGAAATGGAATCCGTCAAATAAAACTTTATGGAGAAGCATCATCTGTTAATGAGAATATTGTTATTGAATCATTACCATTATTGCAAACTAAATGTGCTGAATATCCTTTTGATCGTATTTATAATATAGATGAACCTGGACTTTTTTACCAGTAGTTTTTTTGATAAACTTTTTTGATAAACTTTTTTTAATAAAGTTTTTTTAAATAATTTTATTAATTGCAGATTAGAACCAGATCGAACCTTGGCAACCTGACGAATTGCAGGATGTAAAAAAAATAAAGAACGACTTTCTGTTGCATTATGTGCAAATTCTAATAGATCCCACAAATTACTACCTCTTATTATTGGCAAATATGCCAAACTACGATGTTTTAAAAATATGAAAATTAATAATTTACCCATGGCATATAAAATAATGCTAAGGCTTGGATGCTTGTAGTTCTTTTTCAAGAGTGGCTTCAGGAGTTTGACTATTTGATGTTACAAAAGCATAATGGCCAGCATGTTCTTTTGCTTCTTGATAATTGTTCCAGTCATAAATTAGATGGATTAACTCTTCAATATACAGATGTTCATTTTCTTCCTAAAAATACCACATCAAGATTACAACCAATGGATACAGAAATAATTATGGCTTTTAAAAAAGCTTATTGTTGTTTTCATCTCCGGTTAGTTATTATTACTATAAATTGAATATTGCCTTTTATAACAGTTTTACTCAATCACACTAGTGGTGCTCAAGACCATAGTAATAATATCTCAAGAAACATACTAACTAACACATGTTAGTAGTGTTAAGCAAAAATTTTGCACCCCAAAACCTTGCCCTAACTAAAATTTAAACATATATTATTATCATAGTTTAGGTTCTCTAACCCTAAATTTTACTAGCAAACTATTAAAATATATGTGGTGTTGAGAACTACTAATGCGATTAATAAAACTGTTTTATAATATAAAATAAACTATTAGTAAACAGGACTAGATTATTAGCATTGCCAAATAAAATTTAGAAAAAAAAGTTATTTTACTAAATTTAGATTTAAAATTTTTTTAAATCTTAGATGGATGTTAGAGCAAGTTGAAGTAGATAATCTCATTCAAGATTTAAAGATGGATGTCTTACAAGCAATTTTATATATTATAAAGGGTTGGGAAGAGGTTTCAGCTGAAACCATATATAATTGCTAGCATCATATACGTATTCTTCCATTTAGTGCAGGTCTTTCCGTTAACCTTTGTGAAACTAATGATTTAGAACTTAGAGATCTTATTAGTTCACTTGATACTCTCTGTCTTCCTAATGCTATAGAAGTTAATGAATTCCTTAATATTAGTGATGAGGAAGTTATTTACGAAATTCCTCCAGAAGATCAGGTGATTAAAGAGTTGGCTTATATGTTTAAAAATAATGAAAGTATTGAAGTCTTGGATGAAGAAAATGCTGAATCGATGGATGAAAAAATAGATGATAGTGTAGAACCCGCAATTATCAGTAGCAGTTCAGCATTAATTAGCTTAGAAAATATGCAAATGTTTTTACTCCAGCAAGAAGGTTCCAATGGGCAATTAAAATCAATTAATTTTCTTGAAAAATTTATCAGGAGAACAATGTTAAATTCAGCCTAGCAAATCCGCATAGATAATTATTTTAAATAAAGACTATAGCGAAAGTAAGTGAATTCTTTTTAACAAATTAATTATTGTCGTGGCTGAGGCTTGAAAATATTAAGCTAATTAGAAAAAAAATATACCCAAAATTTTTTGAAAATTTTATATTAAAGTATTTAAAATTTCAAACTTTAGCTGTTTCAAGATTTAGCTGTGACAATTATTACTTAAAATTAATAAAGAATTCTTATTTTATAGCTTGGATAATACAATATTTGACATATAATTTTGCTTAACCTGGGTATGAAGCATAATATCTTACATGGAATCAGATTTTCAATTAAAAAAAAAATCAAAGAATTAACGAATTTAGTTTTTATGCTTAAAAAAATTGAGCAATAGAATATGTGAATATATTTTAAAATTATTTTTTTGCACACAGTACATAAATATCTTGTGCCTTTATTTCGATATAATTAAGCTTTTAAATTCCAAATTTATTAAACTTTTTATCTCAATATAGTAAAATGCATATAGTGTTTTCTGATAGTGTATAAACATCACTACGTATAATGAGAATAAGTTAGACATTTTGTAATACATTGACTACTGTAGAGTAAGTCTTCTAAAAGATTTGGGTATATGGTATTATTGTTATATTATAGGGAGTCTATATTACAAAAAGGCATGTTTTGTATTGACAATAAACTATTATTTTATATCTTGTGTTTGTACGTACTACTAGAATATTTTGAATGGGAATACTAGTTAGTATACTAAAGATTACCCTGATTGGTTGTTAAATTTGTGTAATGTAAATCGATAATTCTCTAAGTGCACACCCTCTCTAAGTGCATGTCTATAGCTGGTCCCGAGGGAATGCACTTATAGAGGTCTGACTGTAGTAAAAACATATAAAATTACATATAAATTTTAAAATTTAATAGTTTATTTCTTTATATATTAACTTTAAATTAAATTTTATGAATAAATACATTAAGAAGAGGTGAATAAAATGCTTACAAAGCTGAATTAAAATTTTGCAATTTAAAAATATAACTTAGTCAAAAGAAAAAATTTAACAAGAGTGTGACAACTTAGTATAGTTGGTAAGGTGTTGCACCCCAAGTATTAGAACAAGAGTTTGAATCCCACTAATGACGAAATTCAAATTTACAGAATGTGTTACAATAAAACTGTATGACATATTGATCAGATAAACACCTGTGACTTTGGTCACATCAGCTTGTACTAGGAGGTTGCGGAATGTTAGTATAATGCATGGGTTATACAAAACCCAAGTAAAGCAGCCAAATAAATCCAAAAGATCAAGAAATATAGAAATTCACTTAGTAATTCCTAAATAAAGAAGTGGCACAAATCTTCAATAGTACTATGTAAAGGATTATCATCTAGAAAACCAGACACTAGCAGTAAACTAAACAAGGATTAAGTATTTGGCAAGCAATATACCAACTAGGTCACCAGACCAGCTAGAGGAAAAAGGATTCATTCAGAATACCAGAAAACGTCTACTAGTCCCTCTTGGACTATCTGAATTAGAAATTTAGGACACCATTAGTTGGCATCAAAGTATTGTTGATAGTCTGTAAAGTGGATACTGGAGTTTGGGTAAACTTTGCAAAAGCACAGATTAGGTAACAATAGTGGAAGTAAAAAGTCGCAAGTACTTGGCTGTAGCTTAGGCATAAGTTACAGAAAACCTAAATAATATATATATAAGATATAGACCACTCTAGTAGATTTATTATAAAAATAAAGTAGTCTTAAGGGATCTTAGCGGCAGTTTCTTTTTGGGAAGAATATCTGATAGTTCTAAATTAATCAGAGGGTTTAATTAGACAACTCAAATAATAATAGGTTATAGATACAGCATCTAGTATAGTATTTAATAATAGAGAACTACTTAATTAGATGCTCAAAAGGTACAAATATGGCTAGAATATATTCTCATTAATATAACAAAGTTAGGAGTAGCTTATATAGTTGTCTTGACATTCAATCCAAAGTTTAATAAAACATGTCAAATCTTAAAGTAATTATTTTAACATTAAAAAAAAAAAAAAAAAAATTTAACAGTTTTAAAATAATAAATATGAGCATTATTTTAGAGCAATCCATAATCGACTAATAAAAATCAATCACGTAAATCATGTGCCTGATAGGCATGTGATTTACATGATCAATTTTTATTAGTTGATTATATCACAGTAAAATTTTATTAATCATAATTCATATTAATTACAATTAAATTACATCATAAAAAAAAAACTATAAAAAATAAAACTATAATATCGTGACAAAATATATATAAAAAAAAAAAAAAATTTTATGATATCACAACAATATCATGATAACACTCAAAACAACGAAGGTTCTGAAATGACAATATTATTAGCATAGAGTTTTTGGAAAGTGCATCAGCTAATGCTTTTCTTTCTTCTGATTCAAGATTATTACATTCAAGGTTCAACTGAAATGACAGACCTATAGCACAGAATTTTCACAAACTACAGAACTAAATAACCAAAGGAACTACAACACTGAACATAAAAGCTAGAATTACAGCACCAAATGACAAAGCCAGAGTCTTTATACTCTATAAATGATGGCACCGAAATGACAAAAGCTCCAAAACTACAGTACCAAATGATGAAAGCCTCAAAACTACTGCACTAAATGACAAAAGCCCAAAACTACTGCACTGAATAACAAAAGCCCAGAACTATTCTAATTATTATCTTCAATACTTGGTTTTTCACTAAAGCAAATCTACAAAAAAAAAGTGTTAATTCAAAGAAAGAAAAGCAAAAAAAAAAATGAAAAATGAAAAAATAACATATCTTGCAAAAATCCCAGTTCTAATTTCTACTGTCTGATCTTCCAGGGGACAAACCTATAGAAAGTTAGTATTAATTCAAAGAAGAAAAAAAAAAAAAAACCACTTATCTCACAATTCAAATATCTAACAATAGCTCCAGTAATGACTCCAACAACGAAACTATACTTTAAAAAAAAAAAAAAAAAAAAAAGGAAAAAAAAAGAAAGAAAACAAAAAGAATAAAAAGCAAAGAAAAGAAATAGACAAAAAAAGAACAAAAAAAAAAGAATCAAAAAAAAAAGAAATATAAAGAAAAAAAATAGAAAGAAACGAAAACGAACAAGAAACAGAAAGAAAAAAGAACCGAAAAGAAAAAAGAAATGAAAAGAAAAAAACTTTCCCAAAAAAAAAGAAAAAAAATGAAAAGAAAAAAACAAAAGAAAAAAGAAAGAAAAAAACAAAAAGAATAAAAAGCAAAGAAAAAAAAATTGAAAAGAAGAAAGAACAAAAAAAAAATAAAATAAAATAAAAAATAAAAAAAAAAAATTGCAAAAAAAAAGTATGAAAAAAAAGTATATAAAAAAAAGGGCGAAAAAAAAAAACTAATAAAAAAAAAAAGAAAAGCAAGCAAAATGGCAAAGAAAGCAAAGTAGCAAGAAAGAAAAGAAAACAAAATGGCAAAAAAAGCAAAGCGGCAAGA